ACCCAGCTGCGGCCGCGTACCGCCGCTGCTGCTGCTGCTGCTGCTGCACGGTGGGGTGTCTGGATCTGCCCTTAGACCTCGGGCTTTTCTTACTGGGCCCCACAGGCAGCAGCAGCAGCAGCAGCAGCCGCGGTGCACGTACGCCGCAGGGTCGCCCTACTCCACCTTGAGCAGCAGCAGCAGCAGCAACAGCAGCAGCAGCAGTAGCAGCAGCAGCAGCAGCTGCAGTTGCAGCCAAAGGGGACTGCGACTCAACAGCATATTTTTGGGCAGCTGCCCGTACACCGCATTAACCCACAGAACCCAGCAGCTGCAGCAGCAGCAGCAGCAACAGCAGCAACAGCAGCAGCTGCAGCAGCAGCAGCAGCAGCTGCAGCAGCAGCAGCCATTTTTGAGTAACTTAAAAATGGTGTCAGTACGGCGCTACCGCGGTGAGTATCTCTTCCCCCCTCTCAGCAGCAAATAAAAAGAGACAATAAATAATAAATAAATAAATAATAAATAAATAATAGATAAATAATAATAAATAAATAATAATAAATAAATAATAATCATAATGAGTTAAATAATAGATAATAATAAATGAATAATAAATAATAAATAGCAATTAATAAATAATAAATAAAACGCCAAAAGTCAAACAAATTAAATACCTCCAGTCTCTTTATCTTTTGCTCATTTGTCTCTTTTTGTCTCTTTCCATGATCAATTCTGCTGCTGCAGCTGCTGCTGCGTTTGCTGCTGTTGCACTTGCTGCTGCTACATTTGCCGCTGCTGCATTTGCTGCTGCTGCATTTGCTGCTGCTGCATTGCTGCTGGATTTGCTGCTGCATTTGCTGCTGGGTTTGTTGCCGCTGCACCCGCTGCTGCATTTGCGTTGCTGCTGCTGCTCCTCACGCTGCTGCTGCTGCTGCTGCTGCTGCTGCTGCAGTGCGGCGCTACCCGTGGCCGCTGGCGTCTGCTGCTGCTGCTGCTGCAGTGGTGCGGCGGAACCAGAAGAAGCAGCAGCTGCAGCAAGACTACAGAGTTTTGCGGCAGCAGTACCAGCAGCAAATAGCAGAAAGCAAAAGCCTGGACGAGCTGCTGCACTGGCAGCTGCTGCTGCAGCAGCTGCCCAGAGACAGCAGCAGCAGCAGATTCCGCCGCCGCTGCAGCAGCAGCGGCAGGGCCCGTGGGGTGTACAGACACTTCCAGCTGTCTAGACACCTCATCAAAAAGCTCCTCGACAATTTGCTGCTTCCCGGATGGACCAAAGCGGAGTGGTAATTAATTATTTATTATTTATTATTTATTTATTTATTTATTTATTTATTTATATTTATTATTTATTTATTTATTTATTTAGTTACTATTTATGTATTTATTTGTTTATGTATTTATGTCGTCTCTTTTTTGTTTTCTTTTTAATCCTTTTTAATCTCTTTTTGTTTCTTTTTAATCTCTTTTTGTTTATTTCTTTATCTCTTTTTATTTTTTGATCTTTTTTTGTTTATTATTGAACTTTCATTTGTTCCTTTTTTGTCTCTTTTTGTTTCTTTTTTATTTCCTTTTTTCACTTTTCCGTTTTTTTTGTTTTTCTTTTTGTGTCTCTTTTTCGTCTCTTTTTTATTTCTCTTTTTGACTCTTTTTCCATTCCCTTCCAAAGCCAGCAGCGGCAGCGAAGGCAGCAGCAGCTGCTGCTGCTGCTGCTGCTGCTGCTGCTGCAGCTGCTGCTGCTGCTGCTGCAGCAGCAGCTGCTGCTGCTTCTTCAGCAAAGGCAGCAGCAGCAAAAGCAGCTTCAGCAGCAGCAGCTGCAGCTGCAGCAGCAGCAAAAGCAGCTTCAGCAGCAGCAGCTGCAGCTGCAACAGCAGCAAAAGCAGCTTCAGCAGCAGCACCACCTGCTGCTGCTGCAGCGACTGCAGCAACTGCAGCAACTTTGCTTCGTTTTTTTTCGATTTTCTTTTAAATGAATTAAATGGAATTCTTTCAAACTCAGGTGTACGTGCACCTCGCAACTGTCTCCTTTTTCCCTTTTTATTTGGATACAAATTAAAAGAAATAAAAAAGATAAAATAAATAAATAAATAAAACATAAAATAAGGAGAGATTAAACAAATAATAAAAGATAGAATAAATAAATGAATAAAAGATAAAATAAATAACAAAAGATTAAATAAATAGTAAAAGATGAAATAAATAATAAAGATACATAAAAACTAAAATAAATAATAAAAGATAAAGTAAATAACAAAAGACTAAAGAAACAAAAAAAGATGAAATGAACTAAAAAGATAAAGAAGAGATAGAACAAATTATAAAAGATTAAACAACAAAAGATAGAATGAATACTAAAAGATAAAAGAAATAATAGAGATAAAGTAAATAAAAGAGATAAAATAAATAAACAAAATAAAAAGAAGAAACTAAAATAACGTAAAAGAAAAACGAAAAAACAAGAAACAGAATAGGGGACTTATACGCAAATATGCATTTTGGCCTTTTTGCAAAATTGAAAACTAAAATGAATTATAATTTAATTTATTTGAATTTGATTTAATTTAATTAGAAGTTGAATTTATAATCATTGAAAGTTTAAATTGTCTCTTTTGATTTAAAGACACTTTTGTTTTTTTTTAAAAATAAAAAGATGGCGGAAGAGGCAGCTGCTGCTGCATGCAGCGCGCTCGAAGCCCTGC